ATATTAAGATCTTACCTCTCGGACCGCTCTCTCGGACCGCTCCCTTTTGGTGCCCACCATCTCCGAACCCAGGCCGGTGACTTGCGGCGTTCCGCAGGGGTCGGTACTAGGACCGGCCCTGTGGAACGTCTTTTACGACGGGCTGCTAGAGACGCGGATGCCGGCCGGCGCGCGGCTGGTCGCGTTCGCCGACGACGTGGCGGTGCTCGGCACTGCAAACTCAGGGGCTCTGCTGGAGGAAATCCTCAACCCGGCGCTGGAAGCGGTCGCAGGATGGATGGCGTCCAACGGTTTGGAGTTGGCGGTGCACAAATCGGAAGCCGTCGTCCTGTCCGGAAGGCGGAAGTTCGTGATGCCCGCCCTGGAGATCGGCGGCCAAAGAATCGAGGCGAAGGATTCCCTGCGGTACCTCGGCGTGACGCTGGACAGAAGAATGACGTTCGCGCCGCATACCGCACGGGCCGCTTTGGCCGCGGTCCCGGCTGGAGCAAGCGACGACTGCTCTCCTCCGTCGTCCAAAGCAAGGCGCTATACGCGGCCCCGGTCTGGGCACCGAAGGCCATGCTCGCTGCCAAAAACCGGGACGCACTCTGCAGGGAGCAGAGGAGAGTGGCCCTCCGCATCATCAGGGCGTACCGGACGGTGTCGGACGCTGCCGCTTGCGTGCTGGCGGAGTGGCCGCCCATGGACCTTCTGGCGCTGGAGCGGTGCAGGGTGGCCTCGGCGTGCCGCGAAGAGCGCGAGACGCGTACCAGGCAGGAGGTGAAGAAGGCGGAGGCGGCGACAACGACTTCGGCTTGGAAGGAGAGATGGAGGATGTGCACGAAGGCGGCGTGGACGAGACGGCTCATCCCCGACTTGGGCAGGTGGCTCGGTCGAACAGTCGTCGTCCGGCTGACATTCCACCTGACCCAGGCGCTGACGGGACACGGTTGTTTCCAAGACTACCTGCACCGCAGGGGCAGAGCGGTTACCCCCTTGTGTCTGTTGTGCGGTGTGGGAGCGGAAGACACCGTGGAGCACACTCTGCTGGAGTGCGCGTTCTGGGAGCAGGAGAGGTCCGTCCTGGCGCGGTCCGCCCGGGTCGGGACCTTCGGTGTCGCCGNGCTGACGGGACACGGTTGTTTCGAAGACTACCTGCACCGCAGGGGCAGAGCGGTTACCCCCTTGTGTCAGTTGTGCGGTATGGGAGCGGAAGACACCGTGGAGCACACTCTGCTGGAGTGCGCGTTCTGGGAGCAGGAGAGGTCCGTCTTGGCGCGGTCCGCCCGGGTCGGGACCTTCGGTGTCGCCGATATTACCGAGATGGTGTGCGGTCCCGATCCGGCTCTGCTGCCCGAAGATCCTGGGAGGATCAGAGGGATTTTGGCAGCCGCCCAGTCCGTGACGGACGCCTTCCAGACGTTCGTCGAAGCGGTCCTGGGCAGGAAGGAGGCGCTCGAGCGTGATCGTCAACGGGCTGAAAGGAGGAGGAGGAGGAGCCCAGAACGAGTGTTCTAGAGCGGCGGTCGGTTGACGGCTCGAGAAGAGGACGAAGGCGTTCGATTACCAATTGAATATATATATATATTGTATCATATTTTCTTTTTCTTTTCTAATACTGTGAACCCGCCCCCCCGCGTAAGGGGGTTACGGGATTTTTCGATTTATTACTTGTATATATCAAAATTTTTTGTTTAAATGTTGATTTGTTTTAATAAACGATGTGGCTGGAGGGGCAGTAATGCGTTAAGCAGTGCCCCCTCCTGCTGCGATACCACAAAAAAAAAAAAAAGAAAAAAAAAAGTCGTTTTTACACGAAGTTTACGGGTTAGTTTACGAAGGTTTTTTGTTGTGATACTACTAATTTTTATCATCAATGCAAATGCAAATAAAAATAATGATAATGTATTTTTATCTTTTACTTTATTTAAATAATGTATCTACAATTGTTTTAGTTTTGTTTTTCTAGAATTATTATATAAATGTCTTTGCCACCACGAGCATTTTATTCTAGCAATACCTAAAGGCATTTTAACAGCACTAATAAGTCGATTAGTCCATTTTTCAATAAGTCCATGAAAGGGAAACAGTAACTTTACCTTGATTTGTTTAGAGGATTGTCGAGATACCAATTTTTTTGGTGAACTTATTTTTTTAACAATAGTTTATTAATAATGTCTAGTTTTTTTTTTTTTTTTAGTAAGTACATTTCTTTATATTTTTTAGCTCTTTTTTTTGTAATTTAGTTGGCATTTTATAATTAAATAAATGCAAATATTTTTTCTTTAAAATAATAAATTCAACTATTTTTATAATAGCTCAGTGTAGAGTTTACACTGTAGACTATTATGATGGTTATACCAAAGTCACATTTGCACGCGAATACGCGAACAAAACAAACAATAAGATAACACGCTAAAATAAAATACACCGATACACAACAACTACAAACGACGGCAGATAACGAAATGAATGCATGGTTATGACCCGTCGACCGCCGACACACGGCACTAGTAATATTTTCTTCCACCTAGGCCTCGAGCTGTATATATGAAATCGAGTGGGGGAACCGACCGATGCGACGACGACGACGATGGCTAGCATGATTCTGAATTTAATAAAAATTTCTATTAAAAATGTCGCACTTTTTCATGTATAACTTAAATTCTAAACGTACGATTTTGATGATTTTTACAAAAGCATGTTCTACACAATATTTCTGATTTTTTGGTATATACTAGGAGTTAATTTATGCATTAGAAAATTAGTTATGTTGTATAACAAATTTACCTGTATTTTACACAGTTTAAATGAGCAACTTCTGCTTCGATATATTATACACACACCGTCGTACAGCTATTTTTTTTTTTACTTAGCTCACGCCACGACCGTGGCACTGGATAACACACAATAATGATGATTGAATTATTAATTATTTATTCTTATTTGCCGTTTACTATACAGAACCTACACAGCTATATAATAATACTGTGTGATTACATAGTGATTATACAACACGCGCTCGCTAGAAGGTTAATAAAAAAATATTGCAAATAACGTTCAAATTTTTCTGCCGGTTGGCGACCGCTGTTCTAGAATATTCGAGAAGGTCCGCGAGCTGTGAAGTTACACGGTGTTTCTTCTCCGTGCATCTATCACTACCTATTTTCTTTTATCAATATATAAGAAAAACTACATCACTGATCTTCACTGTGATGACTTTTACGTAATCCCGACTTCAGGAGGAATCCGTGAAGACCCTCGTCTCACGTGCTGGTGCGTTTGCAAGATCTTGACGGTCGTCCGAAGTTCCGGCGTTGTGGTTGGTAGGTATCTATGCAGCGGCGCACTAAAATCACGATAGCTTGTCACTCGCTGAACCGATTCGAATGCGTGAAGTACCGGCGTTTTCACTGAAGCAAGACAAATCTTTCAGTATATTGCACGGTCATATTCTGATGAGTTAACATACTGAACAAATTTAATTTCGCAGAGCGAAATGTACACACCACGGCTGCTCCACATACACAATATCAATACCTTTAATGTCAAGAGTTGTCGATTGTCTCGTTATGCCCAGACATGCTGAAGATCCATCATTACATCTGATATTATTGGTACGTAAATAGTGCACGTGCATTTAGAATAAGAGCCACCACTGCACCAAGATATTGATGGTAACTGTTAAAAGTTACGTTGATTAAAAAATTGTTCGAGTCAACGGTAACTAACTCATATCAGTTAGGTTAAAAATTGTTTTGAATGTATTTGTCTAGCGTACCTTTATTTCATCTCCGTCAACCACGGTAGGATCCAAATAAATTTCACGCCTGATTCGGATCTGTTGGCCGGTTTCATCATCGCCTTTCTGTTCACCGCTGTCAATTTCGTCGTGGTGTACGACGTGCACATACTGTGCAGTCCCACCGTCGACTCTCAAGTTTAACCATTCGCCTTGGGCAAAATCCGAAAACCTAATATCAACAGGTTTTTAAATTAGGTAAGTGTATTTTGTTGAAAGAATAATAATATTAATAATATATTCGTGGTTAATATTTTGCTCGTGTTACAATAATGCCCAGACATGCTGAAGATCCATCATTACATCTGAAATCCTGGATTATGAAAAAAATCGTTGCTTATATGCTATCTTAAGATTTACCAGCATCTCTCAAAAGGAAGTTTTTCCACTTACCGTTAGCGTATTGTCATTTTGATCGTTTCACCCCTACTGAATTATTATTGAGTGGCTGATGTGTTCTCTCGTGTCATGAACAGAAAACGGATATCTATCAATGACACACTGCCTGTTGTCTACGGTTCAGTTTTTGGCTGGATAGGAGCACTTTCAGATCAAGATTACCATTCCCATTCTGATGTGTCACTCGCGATTTATTTATCGCGGTTCAACGTTTTAGAATACTGAAGAACTGAACGAAGCCCCTGCATCGTTTACCTGTGATGGATAATGCAAGTCCACCTATATTTCAGAATGTCATCGAGATGATTCTGAACATTTTTCAGTTCCTTTGCCGTCCAGACCAAAACATCGTAACGAGAAGTTTCCTGGTTTTTGTAACATTACCGAACATCATTTCCAAAATCTCGAGTTGAAGTAACAAGTAATGATGCACTGTACACCGCGTACAAGGAATTCATGGGCGAATATGAGCTTTTAGGACACATGTCCGTTGCAAGTACACCTAGTACCTATTTCATTCCTCGCCACCCGGTGTTTAAGTCCATCGAATAAAATCCGGGTGGTATTTCAATGCGTTTGCCAAATCTGGCTCTCAACTGTCATTAAATCAATGTTTATATACCGGTCCAAAGCTGCAATTGAATATCTTTGAAATTTTAGTCCGGTTCCGCATTCATCAGTACGCCTTTATTATCAATGTGTGCAACATGTACAAGTAAATTCTCGTTTTCTTGGAATATCGGCGGTTTCAGTTTATACTCTGAAGGTCTTCCCCGTTAGACGAGGTGAAAGAATATCAGGTCAATAACGTTATGTATGGTGTCAGCAATTCCCCATTTTGGCGTTGAAGGTCCTGAAGGATATTGCGGATTATGATGCCAAGGAATTCCCCGCGGTCTAGGATGGGTTGAAATAGCAAACCAACGTGGACCATATTTGCGTGGATCATTTTTAGGTCTTATTTCAATTATTTTTATGTAGAATGCACAACAGATAAACTAATTTTATTAAAGCTTGGTTTCATCAACATAATGTTAAATATTACTGCATATGACAGTTATAATAATGGTGAATATCATCTTAATATCTTCAATTTAAACAACAATAGGTTAACACGTTCACTGCCGATGACGACGCATGGTTGTCATAAACATATGGGTTTTTTTGACTTTAAATCAAATATTCGGCTACTGATTAACAATAACTATTATTTGTGTGGCTATACACAAATACTGATTCATAAATCATTGTATACAGTTGGTTTTTTTTTTCTGTTTTAATCCCGGAGAAACATTAATTTTCCAAACTAGTAAATTGTAATTTAGATTTAATTTAATTTTTAATTTTACAATAAAATATGAATCTTTCATTTGGTCCGTCGAGAAGAAGTCGACCTCGAAAACTCATGACAGGTAGTAAAAATAATGTTTTAACCGATGATGAATTTTTGCATATGTTAGAAAGTGATACATTGTTATCTTCTGAAGAAGAATTCGTTGGTGATTCGGTTAATGATTATTTAGCAAACGATAATGAAAGTAAATATTGAACATAATAATTAATATCATTTATTAATATATTGATAAATCAACATAGATGACAAAATTACAAATAGTGATGACGAAGATAAAGTCGATATTTCTGATGTATTGACAAATTTTACACCGATTTGGTTGACTGACCCACCTAATGTGAATCGTATTGAATACACAGCTTTACCAGGTTTGAAGTTTTTACCAGACAGTGATAAACCTATTGATTATTTTAACTTTTTATTTACCGATGAATTGTTAGATCTTCTTGTTAAAAAAACTAATGCTTACTCACTTGAAATTTTTTTTAAAACCTCTCATCAAAATAATATCGAATTACATCAATATTAATAAATTAACAATGAAAATATTTTTAAATTTAGCATTTCACATGGGAACGATTAAATTGAATAGATTAGAAGACTATTGGAAAACTAGCAAGCTTTTTAATATTCCATTTTCCGGAAAAATATAAATAGGAATAGATTTATGCTATTATTCGAGTGCTTCATTTTTCTCGTAACTCTAAAGAAGAAGAAGTGGCTTCTCTCAATAGATAACATAAAATGCAACCTTTAATTTATTATTTCAATTCAAAAATGGAAGAAATATACGAGCTTTCTAGAAATCTTTCTATTGATCAGTCAATGGTTTTTGTGGAGAGAGCGGTTGATTTTTCGACAATAAATAAAAAATATAAAACATAGGTATGATATTAAGATGTACATGTTGATCTAACTATGGGGACTTATACACAGAATTTTGGTTTATTCAGGACAAGGGTATAATGTGTTAAATATTATGTGTCATACAGAATACTTAGTAGAAAAACGTATGATTAGTTTATTGTATAAAGGTAGATCGCTGTACATGGATAATTTTTATAATAATGTTCAATTATCACAGAAAATGTTTAAAAAAACTAACATACACAACGGGAACATTACGACCTAACTAAAAGAACAATCCAAAAGATATCATAAATAAAAAATTTAAAAAAGTTGAATATATATGAACGTATATAGAAGAAGGTATGTGTAAAGTAAAATTAAAAGAGAAACGGGATGTATTAATGATAAGTTGGAATTTCCTCATTCGATGTGTGAAGTCAATACTAGTAGAAAAATAAAGGAAAAACCAAAATCTGTTGTAAAATATAATGAAAATATGAGTGGAACCGATCGACAAGACCAGATGACATCATCTCCTTTACCCTTTACCCTTTTGAAAGAAAAAGTCTAAGGTGGTACAAAAAAATCGGTTTCCACTTTCTTCATTTATTACTAATACATTCATACTTTTTATACAACAAACACGTGAAAAAAATGTCATTATACGAATACAGATTATCAAAGCATTGTATAAATAGAGTTGTTTGGAAAAATAATATTTTACTTGTATAAATTATAATAATGTTAATCAGCCAATGATAAAAGTTGTATGATATATTAAAACGACTCCTGGTCGTCATCGGCTATTTATAACATAGTTCATACGGAATAGTCGATGACGACAACGATACGTCTTAATTTGTAAAACCGGATTATTCGATCTGGCGAGCGGTGAATGACAAATAAAAATCAGCTGAACCGTACGTGTTAATTTTAACACATTGTCTTGGTTATGTCAAAAATGGAAGATTACTATCTTTAACAGAAACACATGACTTAATTTGAAGTAATCATCATGATATTTTTAAGTGCACACAACCCTGTACATGACGTACAATTAACCATTTGTATTTTTAGGTATCTATTATCTACCACTTGTACTATTAATATACTAAATTTAATTTAATTGTTAATGATTTTTAAAAATTTTTTATGCAACCATTGTATTTTATTCTTAACCTTTTGTCTTTATTCCTAGTTTATAATAAACGAAATCACAGCTTTTAGCTATTACAGGGAACAGGTTGGAAAAAATCGGTCGTTTCAGGAAGAACGTGAAAACATTTTTCCTAAACAATGTACATCAATATATAGATTTCGTTCAATTTTTTTTCATTGTATAACGAGCCAGAGTCTCAATCGTTGACCTAAATAATACTTTGGTTATATTTGGTATGAATGTCGGTTTATTTCTGGTAAAATGATATAATATTAGAGAATATTTACAAAAGTGAAAATCAATACAACATGTGGTTCTAATATAAAAACAATAATTTATTTTATTATGTTTATTTGTTGATACAAAGGTATGGTTAAATATATTTACAACATTAAATATTTAATATCAGTGTGATTTATATATATGTACATTCACAAACAGTTAATGGAATCAATAAAGATAACGGTGTGCCTTATCGTAGGAATTAACGTAGGTTAGATGGGCCGGGGACTGACAATTGCATAAGCCGCAGATCGGTTGTCTTGACTGAATAGACGCGGAACACCTGGGAAACGATAAGCGTATAAGCCGTTTATCGATTGTCGCATCGAATAAGCCGCAGAACGCTGATAAAGTAGGCCACCATGTGAAGGGAAAGAAAATTATAAGTAGAAAACAGTTTGTTTATTTAATCGAGGGCTCACAGCGAAGGTCGGGCACCGGTTGAATATAGAGAGGCCAAATTTATCGATTTCATAGGGCGTTTTGCTGTGGTATAGAACATATGCAGCGTTTTGCTGCTCAAAAGAGGCCAAATTTATCGATTTCATGGGGCATTTTGCTCTGGCATGGAACATGTAAATCTATACGACCTTTTTTCCTCCTTTTGAACCGCTGAAAGTTCTTCCCAATTTGAGAATAAAGCGGCAGCGGAACATTTTAAAAAAACTCGTTAAGCTCATGCGGGCGGTCACTGTTTTTTTTCGACGTTCGTGAATTCGGTCGATTTACCAACGTCTCATAGTATACCAAGAGTGTGTATTTATTAATATGCACCACAAGATGCATTTCTTCTAATCTTTTTTAAATATATAGGTAAGGTGGTCCCCAATCACTGGAGCTGTATATAATATGTTTTTATCACCGAGTAGTTATTTATTAACTATATTATTATAATAATTATTATTTAAATATTAACTTAGATCATGCGTAATGATGAGTTATTTCTGAGTTAAGCTGCAAAATCATCTTTTCTCTGGATTTCATTTGATGTTATCATGGATTAGATCAGTGGTTCCCAACCTGTGAACCACGAGCTCATTTCAGGGACACCACAACTCATCCGAGAATGAAAAAAATATTTACAATTTGTTGTAGTTAAAAATAAAAAAAAACAAAATAATTGATTAATATTAATTAATAATGTAAAAACAAAAAATATTTTACCTACAAAATTACATAGCACACTCTGTATTTAATACCGTGTTTCTCATCTGTATCGATTAATACATAAATGAAACACGCCTCATAAATTCAGATAACATTATATACGGATGACTTTTTCGAAATGGCGACGATCAATAAAATTTAATTCGATCACTCATGTGTAACAGCTGGAGCAATCGCTATAATAAAGGAAAAATCAAAAGAAACTACAAGTAGTCATTGCATACTTCACAGACACGCCCTAGCAAGAAAAAACATAACTCCTTGTCTAAAAAACGTAATGAATGAAGCCATTAAAATAGTCAACTTCATCAAGTCAAGACCTCTGAAATTCAGGCTTGTGTGACGACATGGGTAGTATTTGTAGTACGTTAATTTTGCATACAGAAATCAGTGGCTATCTCGGGGTAAAATGTTAACACGGTTAATAGAACTGCGGACTGAAGTTTTTTCATTTCTAATGGTATTTAATACTTAAGCTTAACTTGTGTGCAACACAGGGATGTTGGTATTTACACAGATGCTCATTAATCGCATTTTAGATTCCAAACGTATCGAGGTAGTATTGATTTTATAATGCTATATATTTTTTTCTTCTTCTTTGTTCCAGTCTGTAGACACCGACTTAATCTCGCTTTCTCATATATAGGTCTAGATGTACTTCATTCTTCGTCATTCTTTTTTTTTTTTTTTAATTTTTTATTAGAGAATATACAATCTATACCCAAAGGCATAATAAGAATATGTGCTACATTTTATTAAAAATAAACATGAATAGGGTGAGGGAAGAAACCATCCAGTGATCGCACTTCTTTTTGCTTAAATATATGTGCAACTATATATTTTTTTAATTATTATTAACATTTTAATGGAATAGAATGATAATTGAAAATTTCCAAAGTAGAGGAAAATATGTCAATCTTAGTGCAGCATTAAATAAGACTGTTAGGAGAACGATTGCTTATTTTGGGAGGCATCTGGCTACTTCCACAGTGATTAAATCATAGCCCGGGGATTTCTTAAGGCTGTATTTCTGTATAGCATATTTAACATCATTTGGAGTAAACGTTTTAGTGGGTAGATAGAGAGAAAAGGGGCTTTCTAGGTACTATTTTACTAACTTGGTAATTTGAGGAGTTTGTATCACAGTATGAAAGCTAAAAGTTTCAGCTAAGTATTTTTTAAGTAGTTCAGCTTTATCAGTATCTGAGAAGGCAAGACTGCCATCTGATTTAATTAACGGGGTGTTTGGTGCTGCGTTTTTTAGAGACTTTTTAGTAGCATCCCAGAGACTTTTATTTGGTGACAAATTAGTAAGATAATTTACTTGAATATGATTTTTGTGTTTAGCTAGTCATTATTTTAAAGAGTTAGCCAGACTAATAAAGTTTTGTTTATGTGATGGAAGCAAGAGCGTTGAT